TTTAGGAATTCGTTTTCAGGTCCTTTAAGATAAGAGTCAATTGATTTAGCGACTCTTAATGAGCAGGTCGTTAATCACAGAGAGAATATATAATAAGTAGTATAGTATTTATTCAGTGGATGACCAAATTAAATTGACATACATTTTTGATTTGTATTAAAATGTTTCTCTTAGAGTTATCACTTTTAACACAAACGTTTATTCTCTGAATATTACCCCTCTCCACTATAAATCTATATCGCCCTAATACACAGCTGAACAAATCAAGAGTGGCACTGGGTGAGACACCTAAATATACGTTTCTGTGAGTTCCCGATCCCATACCTGCTGCACACATAAACCCTGCAGCACGGCGAGGCGGCAGGGGGTCAGCTGGTTCCCGCTGTTCCCGAGTCCCAGCTGTCCGTTCCCGTTGTAGCCCCAGCCGTAGACCTGCAGACACACAGAGAGCATCAGTGCTGCAGAGGAGGAGGAGATGGCAACACTGTGTTTACATTCACGTTTGAATCAAACAGTCACCTCTCCGTTGTCCAGCACTGCCAGAGACGAGGTCTGCCCGCACACGATGCTGACGGCCACTTTGTTCTGCAGACAGCTGGACACTCTGCGGGGGGTCGGCTGGTTCGCTGTGGAGCCCGAACCCACCTGACCACAGTTGTTGTAGCCCCATGCATACACCTGGAGAAGAAGAAGGTAGACAGTTATCATGACATGACAGAAAATATGATCTATCCACACAATCCTAGGCTGTAAAATGCACACTTTGATATCCCTTAAGAGGGACTGCAACAAACAGAGCTTCATGTTTAAAGGATGTGACTGCAATGAATGTACTTTATTATGAAGGTCTTTTAAATATATATTCTCAGAGTAATGATGGTGGATCAGATGGGCTGAAGATTGGGAGTTAACTACAGTAAACGTGTTGTATACTTTTCTTGCTTTTCCCTGATGGTCTGAATAAATCCTAAATCTTGCTAAGCTCCAAAAACAGAAAGAGATCTGATTGCTTTTGTGTCAGCAGAAAACGTTGAAAAGGTTTCTAAAGCGACTTGTATAGAAAATGTATACCAGTCACTACTTCCCTATTGGCCCCAAAACAAATGAGGGTCCTAGAATATCAAACTTTTGATCAATCTCAACTAAACTTTTTAATCTCATCCCTTTACAAATTTGAAGCACAGTATATAAAACATTGTTGTTGTATCTGGGAACCAACATGTTTACAGCACGGCACGCTACAATATGAATCTGACAATATTTGAAATATTTTGTTGAACAATAGTGAACTTTTTGTGATAGTGTTTTCTACGTTTTTCAGCTCTGAATCTGAATCACATTTCTCATTAGACGGTTTCACACAGGTTTCTGCTGCAAACACTCACTTCTCCTGAGTCAGTGAGGGCCATGGAGTGGTGCGAGCCACAGGCCACCTCTGTGACCTTCTTATTCAGCAGGTTAGCCGACACGAGCAGCGGAGCGGCTCCTTGGTTGGTCGTCCCGTTCCCCAGCTGGCTGTAGCCGTTGTGACCCCAGGCGAACAGCTCTCCATCTGAAACCACAAAACGCTGAGTCATTCTGCAGCACTCTCTAATCCAAGGGGAGGAGTAGACGTCCTGTGCAGTTACCCTCTGTGGCCAGCAGGATGTGGGGTCCGCTGCCGTAGCTCACGCTGACCACCTTCCTCCCGCTCAGGAAGTCCAGCTTCTTGGGAACAATGGAGCTCTGACTGTCTCCTGTCCCCAGGCAGCTGCTGCAGTTTAATCCAATCACATACACCTGAGAGAGGGGAGAGGAGGGACGAATGAGAGAGCGAGTAACAGTGATAAGCGGGGCTGAGCAGAGGAAGTTATCGTGAGCCGAGTAGGTACCAGGTCACATTCCAGAAACACAAACATCAGGCGGGGCTGATAAGAGCAAACTCAAAACAGCACGATACAGAGAGGACAACACAAGGTCATGAGCACAGGCCTACAGCTTGTTTTGATATTTACTTTAAGAATAATCTTTGAAAGATCCATAACATTCTCTAAGATAACTAGCAAGAAACATAGATACATTTTGCTGCTGATTTTGATCTTTCTTTAGGGAAAGCTTCACTTTAAAGACTAAACGTGTGTATGTCTGGGTAACTTACCAATTAAAGAGCATGTTTTTCTGCAGGCAACACTATATTATGACCTAAGTATTTCTTATAAAGTCTTATAGTGAAGAATAAAACAAACACACTGAATAAAACGTATTTGGAATCAGGAAGTCCAGGCCTATGAAGGTTTGTATAGTAGTAGTAATAATTGGGTCTTTTGCAAAAACACTAGTTTTGACACAACCCCCATTCAACTTAAACAAATCATTTTTTTGCATCACATTTGGATTCTTTGTTCACAGTAAAAAAGAATCTTAAAGAGGGAAAACTATTTGCTATACAAATGAAAATATAAATCTAAAAATAACAATATGCTGTGTAAAATTAAAGTAATGTGAAAGTTGTAGTCCAAGATCCTCTAAGTATTAGTTACGCACCAGTAACGATGGCTTCGCTATTGCATGATTAACTCCACAGCCCTGTTCCCCCCCGACGCCTCACCTCATCATCTTTGGTGATGAAGACGGCCTCATTAGCAGATGTCCCAAACACGCAGGCTTTCCGTATCGAGGAGAGCTCCTGGGGCCCCATCATGCTGAAAATGGGCCATTTGGTAACATCCACCATGATGCTCTCTCTGTGGAGGGGTGAACCTCAGTGCAAGGGCTGGGGAGGGGGGGGGCATCAGCAGGAGGAGGTGTGGGGGGCCAGCGCTGCAGTGAGCTGGTGTTAAAATAAAAAATGCAAAGTCAGGGAGCATCAAGGACATCTGACAACCTTTACAGTATAAGCATTTTTCATTTCACAAAAGTCATGAATTCTATCTTCAAGGTTTGAATACTTTGGGACAGACAGACGTGAGAGATACAGAGATGTTCAACAAAATGTAGTAATATGTTTGTATTAAGTGTGTACATTTTCTAAGATTGATATCGTGAAACATGTAGATGCCCCAAAATCCAACACACTGTCCGACTTTTGGTATCAGCTCACAAATCATTTCAGTGATCTAGAAATGTCCTAATCCTGACAGGCCTCACCAGCAGATGGCTCAGTTACAGTGACATGTACAGAGATAAAGGAAACAGACTTGGAGATAATAATACATATTTTTGCAAACCCATTTTCCTTTTAAATCATAGTACAATGAGAGGATCCTTAGATGATTAACTGGCTAGATGTTAGGTGGCTGCCTGTTGCTGCACTGTGTCTACTGATTATTTTTGCCTTTTACCACTTTACCTTCTTATTTGTGTTTTTTCTTTTGACTATTTACTTTATTGGTATTATTAACAACAATGGCCACATTTAGTTTTGAAAGTTTTCTGGTTACTCTTGTTACTTTCAACACTTTTTTATTGCGTATTCTTGTGGTTCATGTCCTTTATACTGTAGATATGTACATATACTTGCTGCTGTAATTGTTATTTTAGTTAATTTTATTTTACATGTTTATATTTTCTTCCAGATGTTGCTGCTGCAACAAAATAATATCCCAATGGTGCATGTGTAACGGAGTTAAAAATGTGTATAAATAATTATTAGTTTATAAATTACGATTTACAATAGGTTGTGAATTTTATCTTTATGACATTGTTTTCTTTTAATATTTTTGAGTTATGTTCTAGTGGGAACACTTTCCCGTTGCACATCATTTTCTACTTCGTGTATGTCATTTCCGCTTTCCACACTGAAGTGAGCACTGCTAAGGGTAGGCTATGCTAGGAATTGTGTCACAGTTTATTACAATTTTGTGTGGTAAACCGGCTATTTAAGTTGATGAAAGTGATGTATGTTGTCAAGTGTCAATTTGGGTACATTATTAACCCATTTTTGTTAAGTTTCCACCGTAAGAAATTGTATTTTGAGTGATATTTACGGTGTGGTTTTGGCGGGAAATTGTATTTGTTTACATGTCAACACTTTCTGACTTTTCTTTTCTTTTTTAAAGATGTGCAACGCGGATGTAAAGGAAATGTTGTGTTTGTTCTCAGGTATGTTTGTTTGTATTTTATGTGATTACTTAAAAATAATATTTTTTGGGTCATTTCATAATTTCTCAAATTGTATAAATAAGCTAGTATGTATACATAAAAACTAGAGACACTGAAGTGATCACTGCTGAGGATGTGCAACGCGGATGTAAAGGAAATGTTGTGTTAGTTCTCAGAATAAATGCCAGAAAACACACTCAGATGCTTCGCTGTCGTTTCCTGATCGATAAGGAGTCGCTCACGGTTGTGACCGGTTGTGACCCGTTACACATGTGTAAACTAAAGATGAAAGTCTAGTGTTATTAATGTTTTTTTACATGTTCTGTTAAATGTTGCCTTTATTCAGCTGTGAGCCTGAATGCTGATACACACAGAGATGTATCACCTGTTTTAGGATGTTTTCTATAACCTCAGTGTTGCCTGTGTCAATTAATCTGTTATTTGTGAAAACAGTTTATGGACCCGGAGAGGCTTATGCATTTCTGAGGAATTAAAAGTGTTGAAACCCTGGGTCTCATAGGTTTTATGTGTCATAACTTTGCCTATTTCCTATTAAAACAGCAGTAAACATGCACGTCGTTACTCATATAGCCTGTTACTGTTGTGGCCATTGTTACAAACACATTATTCAGCAGTGACACAACAAAGTGAGTCTAGACTTTTCCGTGTGGACAGTCACACTAGTCCCTGCTAACATGCAGTTTAACATGAAGAAAAACAGCTTTAAAACGAGTTTTAACGCTACAGAGTAATAACATTATTTGATTAAATGTACCTGTTTATTGTGTACGTTTCCGGTGTTTCTGGACTAACAGTTTCCCCGGTTTGTTGGCGGGTGTCCGTTTCTTACCGCTGCCGCTGACCGAGGCTTATTGCGGAAATGTGGAGAAAAAATAAAACCACGTGATCTGAAGACCAAATTAATCGATCGCAGACGTGAGTTCAGTTGGAGGTATCCGAGCTGTGAAAGCGATATTTAATCAATAATCGCACCCTTTTTTTTACACACAAATTATTTCCCAGAACTTTCTATCACATTTGATCCTCTTTATCAGAGGATTCTATTGAGAGGCAAGTAACAGAAAAAACAATTAAGGCTCACAAGGTCGCCATACAAACACATACAAAATAAGATACACAATAGATAACACCAGCATAAGAGATATAAACAAGACAATGCAGTATATCAATCAAATAAATAAAAACAGGATGTGTGATGGATAATGATCAGGGTGGATATGCGAGTGTGAAGAGATGTGTTTTGAGACGTGATTTGAAAATGGGGAAAGAGTCAGTATTGCGGATGTCAGGTGGGACAGAGTTCCAGAGGCGGGGTGCAGAGCGGCTGAAGGCTCTAGACCCCATGGTGGTTAAACGGAAGGGGGGTGCAGTGAGGTGGAGGGAAGCAGAAGACCTGAGAGTGGGGATGGGTGTATTGATGTGCAGGAGGTCGGAGAGGTACAGAGGAGTGAGGTCATGAATGGCCTTAAAGGTGAGATTTGACGGGGAGCCACTGAAGTTGCTGAAGAACAGGAGTGATGTGGTTAATGAGGTTCTTCTGGTGATGATGCAGAGGCAATACAATACTAGTTAAAATAGCTAAAATAACACTTCGAGGTAAAACTAGTTGGAATCAAAACCAAGCAGAATATTGTTTTTAAAACTGTCAATGGTGTATCACCTTAAAACAGCTTTAACAAAAGGGTGGGGCTTTTATTTTGCCAGGATAAATCTTTTTGATCTGGGAGAGCAGATGTAATTTTTATTATTGTCTACAATTATATTTAATTCAAAGGGCATGTAGGAATTAAAAACCCACCTGGAGGAAAATATAAATGTTTTCTCATTTAGAACATGGGGTGGTGGTGCATTTCAGCCTCTTGTGGACAAAATGGGTAACGATGAATACATAATATCCTGAGAAATAAATAAAAATACCTGACTAAACTCTGTGGGAACATATTTGTTTTAACTTTTTTGACCAATAAAAACAATACATAAACACTTTCCAGGCAAAATCTTGTGATCCCAACCCGTTTCACAGAATAGTGTTTTAAATGGATGAGGCACGATAGTCAGATGCTCAAATCCAGTTAGAACTAATAGGTCGAAATTAAGGATCTTAAGCTTTCATTTAACGTCAATGTATAAGTTGCCTTGATGTTCTTACCACGTCAGTTCTCCTCTTGCTTTGGCGTAGCATGTGTCCCCAAGAGACTGAAACCTGGGGAATCTGGATCCGTGTCAAGCAGCGTATATGAGGCCAAGAGGCCAGCTATCTTATTTTTGTTACAGACTCAGCAATAAAGCCAAATTCAGCATCTGAACGGTGAGTCAATGTGACACTAACACACATGCTTTGATTCAGGACACTGTGATATTTACAAACCAAACATGTTCAATATTGTATCAGACATTTGAAGTGTCCACTGTAATCTCACCGTTGGCACCAAATCTTCCCTGGCCTAGATTTAGCTGCGATAAGACTATGAAGGAACACAAAAAAAATGTATATCTGATCAATGCTGCTTATTTTAACAGTTTGATTGGAGTTCAGTACCAAGTTATTATAGTTGAGAAAGTTTGTCATAACGACTTTAAGGATCTTAAGCTTTCATTTAACTTTCTGGCAGAAATGGGCTTCCATATCGCTTACACTCGCACAACTTACATGTAACAGCTACTGTAAGGGTGAATCACAACACTTGCAAGCACGGAGGATCCAACGGCTAAACAGCAAGTTTATTTTGGTTAGGATCAAACACACAGATCATGTCCTGAGGGTGAGATGAGATCAAAATCCCCTGACTGAAATATGGCAAAGATGGTTTGTGGTGTTGGGTGGGGGCAAATGAGCGGGAGAAATGGTGTGTTACAATGTTTAGTGAATAAGATTTGGAGGGGAGCGGTTACTCTCACAGCAGAGAGCAGCCAATGGCAAACTCCAGAAAACAGGGAGACCACACATCTCTGTATCTCCCACCCTAGAAAGTCTCCAGCTACTCAAAGAATTGTTTCTATTCAATAAAACCGAGTTTTAGTTGAAATGAAAAACAAAAGGCACAATGATTTTCAACTCATTCCTGTCTTTAATATACACAAGAGTTGAACGCATCAATGAGCCACCTTAAAGAGAGGAATTCAATCTAAAATTTATAAAAAGATATAAACAATCAGAGGCCAAAACGCTGTCTGTTGCTTCTTCTCCAAATATTTTATTTAAAACAACTTTTCATTAGCAAGTAAAAATCTTGCAACAAACATAAGCTTGTATCCAATTCGGATACAAGGCAACGAAATTGTAAATCTTTAAAGTGGCTCGGTCTAGTCTGCTAGTTCATGACTGTACACCCTCTGTATAGTTTTGTTCAGTAATAAACAGCTAGTCCCAAAAACAAGCCTGGGCTGCTCATAACAACCCCACCCAATACGTAAAACCCCAGTGTGACCCTCCCCCTACCCACCTGTTCGGACCCCCTCTCAGTAGTTAGCAGCCAACCAGAGGATCATAAAGTCTTCGAGACCAGGGCTAAGGTCGGGTTCAAAGTTTGACGCCGTGAACCCGCACCCCCCACACCAACTGGGACGGCACATTTTTTAAAAGCCCGTCACCATTACTACTACGAAGAAGAAGAAGAAAAAAAACTGCCTGTTCCAATTTATCAGCATGTCATCACAATACATATGCAAGTCAGAAATAAAAACATTGAAACAAAGAAATATTGCTTCAACGAAAAAGAAAAAAAAAACCTCCCCAGCCATCTTTGACAGTAAATCGTCCTTCCAATGACTGTCAGCTGCAGCAGCTTTGTACAGGCTTTATGTAAATATATTCATATATTCATTAGACGGCAAGGAGAGGTACACATCACATTTTTTGTACAATTATTCAAATTGAGTGATGACATGTGACCTCTTCAAAGAGAGAAAGTAGTTAAGTAGTGTGTTTAGGACCTGTACTCGTTATATAAGTGTAGTGTTCAATGAGTATAGGTCCCCTTTCTACAGGCAGACATCAAAATGCCTTCTCTGACGTGTGCATAAGACTGAAGAAAAGGAAAAAATTAAACATTATGGAAGCTCCACAGACTCAACCAAGGAGCTGAAACCTAAAATATGTTTGAATTTAAAACAATTAAAATAATCTTAAAGGTCAGATAAGCAATTCAGGTCGTTTTTTTAGCTCTCTTATTGTTAACACCCCCCCCCCCATCCCTCTTAAAAGTTTCACATTACAGGGGAGTCCCGAACAAAATCACAGGACGTGACCGAGCTCATGTCCTACAGACGGATGTCCTGCAGGGGATGAAACGCTTCGGCTGACATGTTCCTCTTCTCTAAAGTCTCTACGTCTTCACCCAAAGGGGCTTCCTCCCGTGACAGGTATTCACGTCCGAAAAATGAAAAAACTGTCGTCGTCCTGCTGAATCAAAATCAAGCAGGATCGTTTGAATTGGAGGAAAAAAAAAAAACAGATTTATGGCATTTTCTTCACATTTTTGATGGTTTCTCTTTTTTTTTTTTTAAACAAAGTTTCAACAGAGGTCACGTTAAAAAAAAGTGACGCCATCTAGTCAGAAGTCCCGTCAGTCAGTCTGCCACGGAGTCCTTTTTTTTGTTGTTGCCTCGGAGCCCTTTCCCCCCCCTCCACCTGCCCCAGGACGATCATTGAGGGGGGCAGCGGGGAGTCCGCGGTTAATCATGGCTTAGCTCTGGGATTAACTCTTTAAAACTGGGTGAGAGAGGATTATTGGGGTGCCCGGCCCATGGGAATCTGTGTAGGTCAAGTGTGTTGACGTGCGTTAGTGTGTGTGTGTGTAGGTCAAGTGTGCGTGCGCGTAGGTGAAGTAACACCAGAAGACAATCCAGGGGAGGGAAAGCACAGAATAAACCACAAACAAACAGCAGTATTTCTTCCCCATAAGTGATATGATGGCTTCTAACAGAAGTATGCACACAAATTCAAAGTGTCAAAAAGTGTTTCTGTGTGTGTGTGTGTGTGTCTGAAAATGTGCTTGTGTTTTTTTTGTCTTTGTGAAAACTGGACATTTGGCAATTGAAGCTTGCCATGAAGGCTTTCTCTTCCTTCTGGTTTTTATTTAAAACTGGCAACCCTCCTGATGCAGGTTGCCAGGTTGTGACGGTGCCTGTTGAACTCCGATGTAGGGTAGTCGTGTTCGGTGAAGGATGATTAACAAACATAAAAGAAAAACACCCCGCAGTGCAGGAGGTGGGGTGGGTAAATCCTTCAGTGGTGAGTTTCCATGTTGAAGTGATGCTAAGTAAATCCTTCAGTACCAGGTTGCCAGGTTGGAGGAGAGATGGATGAATGTCTGGGGTGATTACAGAGTACCCGTGCAGCTGGTTGAACTAAAAATCCTAGCTTTTAGAAATTAAACTCCTTTGTTTGCATGTTGGAAGCTGGGTCAAAGTTGAAGGTTCCTCCTTGAGTGGTGTCCGGGATCAAGCTGGGGTCTTCATCAATCTGGAAAGGATAAATATAGTGAGGTCACAGCAGAGTAACGTTTCACTGAGCAGGACAAACACATGCAGATCATATGTGTGGTGTACTTACATCGTCTCCTGAAAAGTACTGATCAATAATCTCAAAGGCTAGTTTGTAGATATCCTCATTTTCATGCTGCTGCAGATTTTCTATCTTCTCCAAACCTGGGAATAGCAAAGACAACAATTCCTGTTATTGACATTATCACACAACAGAGTTCAGTCATACAATCAATAAGGCTCTCTCAATATGGATCCATTTGCCAGATAAGACGTGGAATATAATACTCAAAACTCAAGTCCGTAAAAATAAAAACACATTTCCCCAATACATTTTTTTTCTAAATGACAAATTCGCTTCAGGATAAAAATTATCTCCCATGTCTTAATTGATTTATTTGTGTTATTTATTATTCTACTTAATGTGGATTTTTTGTATTCCTGTTACCTGTGATGGGTGTTATTTATTTTATTGTATTATTATTTCATGTATTTGTATTATTTGTATTATTTTTTTCTGTGACCATGACCCAATGGGATATTTGTATATCCTTTAACAGACATGTTGTCCTGTACTATATATAATGTGCTGAAAGTGCAACGTCTGGAATAAACCAAATAAAAAGATTTAGTTTTTTTTACAAAAAAAAGGCATAAAGGACACGATGATCCAGACGCTGACCTCCACACTCCTCGATGATCTCGGCGATGGTGCTGGCTTCGTCTCCCGCCATGATGAGGATGTTCTTCAGGCCGTCCAGGACGACCTGCACCACCTGAGAGTCCTTCACCGACAGCAGGCTGCAGAAGGGAGGGATGACGTTCTGCTCCACCAGGAACTCCACCTGCAAAGAGCCAACACATACACACTTCATTATAACACAGGAGCATTGGAATGAGCGTGGAACATTCAACACAAGAAAACATTCAGAACTTTCAAGTGCGAAATCGTGGTGTTAGCTTTTACTTGAAATTACGGAATAATATTTGCAGTGGTTGAAATGAATGTTATGTTTTTTTGTTATATACTGGAGTATGTATTTTTAATCAATTGTAAAACGAAAATTAATTCTTCTACTCTACTACTATTGTACATTTGCAATAAAATCTACAATAATAATTATTAATTTTATTTATAAAGCCCTTGAGAAAAACTGTTCAAAGGGCTTCAGACATAAAAACTGAAAATACACAATTTCAATTCAGGAAAAGTCATATGCAGCTATGAGTTGTTGTGTTTTTTTTAGATATAATTAAATTAATACAAAAAGAAAACAATTAAGAGAAATCTAATTAAATCCATATTAGAAAAAATGACCTTCGGCTACGTTTAGCTGTAGAGAAAATGTATAATAATGAAGTTAGTTTATTTGACCTTGAGGCAATACAATTATTAAAGTAACAATACTTTCACTTGAGCACCCTTTGTGGTCAAAAACGCTGATTCAATGCTGGGCTCACACGTCAGGACGGGTTTTTGCGGCTAAAATAAAAACACTTATGTAAACAAAGGACTCCAGACTTCTCTGTCATTGGTCCAGATCTCACCTGGTCTTTCCTCCCGCTGATGGTGAGGTTGCTGATGGCCCACGCTGCCTCCTTCTGTGTGCCAAAGTCACCCTGTAGAGAGACAGGCTGTCACTACAACGTGCACGTAGCGGGTTTTTCTACAACAACGTTAACGCAGAGAGACACAGGAAATCTGGGCCATGCATGCATTCAGTGCTTTATTCCTTTCAAACAGAGATGTCCTGCTTCTCTGGCTACATAACATAGAAGGTGTCAATACAGCTGAATCAGCGCCAACATTATGTTTGTCGAGCACCATCTGTTGAGAAAATAGGACCTAAAGAATGGGGAATATAACACAATAAATATACCCACAAACCTTAGCCAGTTGGTGGATGATCATAGGAATCAGCCCTGCATCGATCACAGCCTGGACCTGCTGCTGGTTCCCTGCTGTGATGTTGGACAGGAACCACACCGCTTCCTGCAAACACACCAATCACAACGCTCAAAACCTGTTCGATATCCAACTAGGGCTGCTCAATTAATCGTATTTTAATCGCAATTACGATTTTGGCTTGCAATGATTATGAAAACCACATAATCGAAATAAAACGATTTTTTTATTATTATTTATTTAAAAATATTTTTTTTTGTTGGTTTTCCAATTGAATTATACTTAAAATTCAGGGTAATCAACTGTTAAAAACATACTACACCTTTTTCTTTTTCAATAAATGGATGTTTTCAAAGTAAATGGATAATCGTTTTTTAATAATCGTGATATCAATTATTGACCCAAATAATCGAGATTATGATTTTTGCCATAATCGAGCAGCCCCATCCAACACACACATCAATATTCTTACATGGATGTCTCTACCTCTACATCATTGGGCTAGTAAACAGGGAACAATGCAGATGGTTGAGATTCCATATTTTGGAGTATTTCTTTTAGTTTTAACTCTGGTGTTATGCTCCAGTAACAATCATCTTTTACACTGCATTGTGGTTTTATTTTGCTTACAGCACCATCACAATTAAATAAGTGTTTTAGTGCATCTGCCTCAGGGTAAAAGAAATCCTACTTACTCCTCTAAGCTGAAATATACTAACAATAACAAATCTGCTCCAGGTGTATTAATCTGCCTGACAGTGAATCAGATAGCTCTAATACAACTACTGCCACCTACTTTCTCTTTCCATACTAAGCCATAAGAAGCTGGCAGACTTACATTAGCAAAAAAGAAAAGACGACATCATCATAAAGGCTGAGGTACCTTGTTGATCTTTTCTTTAGGGTGTGTGAGCAGGTTGGGGAAGTGTGAGAGGACGTCGCAGTTCAGAACAACCTGCGTCTGCTCGTCTGTCCCGGTCACAATGTTCCCCACTGCCCTCAGAGCTGCCGTCTGCACAGAGACAACAAACGGAGGAGAATTAGGAACAAAATCATTTGCTGATCATTCAAATTGACTTCCTGTCGACAAGACTAGGGCTGCACAACTCCTCAAAATGGGAATGTAAATCACATATACATTTATAAATATGTAAATCACAATATGGATTACTGCATTATCCAATTTGCAGTAATCACATGCAGGGAAGTCCTGGCCCACAAACAGTATTCTACAGACTTGATCAATCCTCTACAGATAGATACTCTTAATAAATAAATAAGTAGAATAACACCATGATCATTTCATATTATTTTAATATTAACAATTGTTTACATTTAACGTGAATAATGTTGTTTGTTTTTTTTTGTTTTTTTTTTTATAAATGGTCCAATCATAATGCAACTACAAAATCAGTCAAATTGAATCCCAGTTTTTAAATCATGCAGCTCTAGACAAGGCTTAAATATGTAATCATTAAATCAAAGTCTCACCTGAACTTTGACCTCCTGCTGGCTGAGGAGAGGCACAAGAAATGGAACGACTCCCGAATCGATGACCATCTGGATCTGCTCGTTGCCTCCGTCCGTCAGATAGGACAGAGCCCACACCGTGTCTACTAAGATCTGAGCAAACGCACACAGGAAGCGCGTAAGTCGACGCAAAGCAAGGGATTTCATTCCGTAAAAGCTATAAAAGTCATACGTAAGAATCTGATACTTACATTTATATCAGTGTGATATATTAGCACACACAGGGCGGGCAAAATCTGTAGGGACAGAAAAGAAGGTTGTGAGTGGGTTGAATGTAGAGGGATACATTGATCAGATGATGGCAAGAACAGCGCAGAGAGAGAAGGAAGAAGATACAAAGAAGAGGAAGAGCTGTCAAGCCAGACTTCAAATGTCGCTTTATAGTTACAAACGCCTCCCGGGCTTTGACTACTGAAAAAGGCGCGGTAAAAAAACTCTGTGTGACTCAGACTGCAGTGACACAGACGACTGAGACACACATGCATCTGTCTGGCTCATTAAAACCCACACACACACCTCTTGGACTGTCTCCATAGGGGGCGGGGGGTCCTTATTGCGGCAGAGGTTAACGATGACCCAGGTGACATTGCGGAGGAAGGTGATGGGGATCGACGGGTTGATGAAAGAAAGCAGCGGCTTGACCACGCCCAGGGAGATGACATAATCCCTGCACTGTGGACCATCACCTGGACAAACAAAGGGTCAGAGGTCAACACACACGTGAGCTTTAAAAGCAGAATGTACACGCTTCAATCAGAGGACACTACTTACCTATAATGTTTCCTAAAGCCCATACAGCCTGTTCGCATACGTTCTGGTGGGGAGAGTGTAGGAGTCGCAGGAACAGAGGCACTGCATCTGGACCCACAAACATCAACGCATCGGAAATTAGACCAAGGTAACACTTTGTGAAAGTCCAGTGATAAGCACCCGGTCAGGTCACAGTCAAAATAAAAACAGACAAACCCATGAACTTGTCACAACTCCAAACCGAATGAGGTGGACTAACAATGTTGCAAAGGGAAAATGTGTTTAACCTGCTTAAAGGGTTTTCCCCCCTCCAGCTTTTTCAGTGGTCGCGTTCAAAATAAACTATTTTTGTGAATATGCTAAAAGTCAGCTGACATGAATGTTTTTTTTTTTTCACAGTTCTTGAAATGCTTAGGCACAGTTAGCTGGATCTTCAGCTGCTCCTTTCCAATGTAAACACATATGTTTCAAGGAAATGTAAGCTACTGCTAAAACATCGAGATTGTCCTCGTTTGTATTTATTTTTTTATCTAACTTTTTTGCCACTTTTGCTGTAAATGTTTTCTGATTCAGATTATTGTTATAAGATACACACTCAGTTGAACATCATGATCTTTTAACACATTCCTAAAATAATATACAAAATATCAATTGAAGTTTAGCTTAGGCTAGTTTAAATCAATATTCTAGAAATGGACCAATCAAAGATGAAAACATGGCTATTATGCAGATACGGGTTAATTGAGATTTAGATGCAAAAAGATTTGAAAAGTCTCAGTTACATACTTTGATTCAAGCACTTGTGTTACATTTTGGATTACTGAATTGAATGAAGTCAAACAACGTCATCTTTCATTTAAGAATGTTTTTAAAAGTCTTTTAGTTTACATTTAAGATATGTTTTAAATAACATCTCAGTTCTTAAGAGTGGACCCGGGATCAGTATTCATGTGATGAGCTGGCTGTCATGTTGGTTTCGTTTCAAAACAAAAAGTGCTGTGTTATCTAATAAAAACATAACCCAGGAATGACTGACTGCCCGATTGAGAGAAACCCAAATAAACATGGCGGCTCTGCAGACAGTAGACAAACACAGAGTGCAGGAGGCAGAATGTGGGGTCAACTCACTGGATTTAACCACGGCCTGAGTCTGTGCCGACGTCCCCGAGGCGATGTTGGTCAGAGCCCAGGCCGCCTCGAACTGGAGAGAGGGGCTGCGGACAGAGAGAACAGGATGAATACATCAAGTTTTTATCATTTAGTTTCCACTGGGTAAGAAACATTATCATTAATATCGATGCGAATATTCCCCCGAATTCCCAGCTGCCATTACATGTTTTTCAAAAGGCACCTAAAACACTTGTCTGTTTTTGGCCTTTCAGGAAAAACTGCATTTTTAAGAGCCATGTGTCTCAAACAGATTTGAATCAAAAGCGTATAGCTCAACATGGCAGACTGAAGAGGTCTGCACATCTTCCTTACATTCATAGCAATAATTCTGACTATAATCCTCAATTTGAATGAGTGATTTTTTTGATTAAATTAGAAAGCCTTTTCGTATTAAAGCAAAGTCAGTTTCGTCAAAGTAATGTGTGAAGCAGAGGGGGAGAAAGGGTGGACACAACGTTTCTGTCTCTGAACACTGCTTAGACTCAGCATTCCCAACCTGTGATATTTTATAGGAAGCTTGCCTGAATTTGCCTGACCAACTACTAAGCAGTCACCGATGGAAAATACGTATAAATACAACAATACTCATATTATTAGTGTAGCCTAATCTGTAACTCAGAAACACTGGGTTTATTCACAATAAATAGACATGCACAAAAAGAGTGGGAGTTTTCTAATGTTGGTTTAGCAAACGACATTCCAAAGTTTTAACGCAATTACCGTAATTTTCGGACTATAAGGCGCACCTGAATATAAGCCGCAGCAGCTAAATTGAATGATGTACATATATAAGCCGCACTGGACTATAAGCCGCAGGTGTTTTAATGTTTAATTACCATATGTAAGGGTTCGTGCACAGAGGGGATTGTCGGGAAAGAGATGGCTGTTTGAGGAAGCTCCCATTTATTAACATTTCAACAAACAAGTTGCATATTTGCATAACGTATTCAAGTGTTACCATTTAGTGCAATAGTAGCTACAGAACATGTACTGTGCTGTGTAAACTGTACTGTATCACATAGCGTTTCAGACACACAAACTTTTCAACTTTCAAACTTAAACGGTGCGCTCCCAGCGCACGTACCGGCAGTGATCTACAGCAGTGGTTTTCAACCAGTGGTACGGGGACAAACTGTCTCGCTCTCGTAATGTCTGTCTGTCTTGCTCTCGTTCTGTCTCTCGTACCACTCTCGGTTCCACTTTTACTTTTGCGCGCTACCTGTCTCACTCTTTTCCGGCCTCCAGCTTTTCCTGCTGGAGCCCGCCGCTTAAAGGTGGGGGGCGCGGACCGGCCATAGAGCCCATAGAGTTAAAGGTGGTGGACTGTAACCTGTCCCCTAGTGGCCGTTAGCTGTAAAAATCCATAGATTAGCCGCACCGTTATATAAGCCGCAGCGTCGAAAAATGGGAAAAAAGGCGCGGCTTATAGTCCGAAAATTACGGTAGTTTCTATATAAAAAAAACCTTCTTATAAATCGATATGAAATCCTGGTGAAAACAGCGTCTGTGTGGTGGGTAATGCACCTGACATGACATCAATGGTCTAGATTTGGTGCTGTGCTCAAAAGGGAAACTCGTGATTTCTTTTGTGATTTTTTTTTGTAAATGATTGCAACACAAACTATTAGAGCTCACAGTCTCAAGCGCTCCTCACACCGCCCACCAGCCAAATGCTAGTAAACCAAGGCAGAGGGTGTGAAGTCTGTCTACTCGAGGGACTATTTCATCATGAAGCGAACCCTGATCTGGATTTCCAACTTGGATGTGGTGTCACTGTGGAGAGCAAAGTTAAATGTTTTGACAGTTTGAATTTGAACACCTCAGAAAACACTTTCACTTGTGCTCATCTTGCTGTCCTTGCGTTGCGTTGTGGTTCAGTGCCTCCTCACAGCATTAGGCTGAGCTTCCTTGGCTTTGTGCCATGATGCTATGGCAACAACAATAGTAGACAATTGCTTCTGTTCATGGAGGCACGTGGGTCAAACTGCTCGGCTGCATTGCAACTCAAAAATAACACCAATATAAGATGGTTCTGCAAGATGCTTTATGTTGTCGGTTGCTATGGTGAAATCCTCACAGCTTCTCCCTTACAAGTTCCTCCACGTCAGCCATTCTTTCTCCCCCTCTCGGCTAACACAAGGTCCTGGGAATTTGGGAACTCCAAGAGACAGGAATGCTGTTATATTTGGCTTCGCCGGGGCAGAGAGAGTCAGCCAACTGCCCTGCTTGCCTCCACACACTCTCACGTACACACACACACACGTAAACACACACACCCTCACTCACACTCTCTCACGTACACACACACACAGACACACACACACTCCGGTGCGGCAGAGACTTGATGTAGCAGCTTCAGTAATCCATCACAGCAGCCTGCAGTCTTAAGAGCTACATGTTTGCGTCACAGAGTAAAAACACTGAAGACTAATGGTTTAGAAGCAGACTCACTTGTCGTCCCTTTCCAGGCATTTGACTAAAATGGGCAGGATCCCAGACTTTATCAAGTCGTCGATCGGAGGGTTTCTGTCACTCGAGAGCAGTTTTCTGTCAAAGGCCAAAGAGAAAAATGTCAAGACCGTCACGTCCATAAACCCAAAAAACAGCTGACGTCTTTTTGTGTGACTCACCTGGCTGCCTGTACAGCACTGAGCTGGACTACTGCATTATCACTGGTGGCATTCTGCAATGACAAGAAGTGAAGGTCATTATTGATGCTAGCACAGAATAATGTAAGAGTATAGGAGCCACTGCTGGTACCTTTGGGAAATGTATAATGGAAGATTTAAAGGTGGGGTAGGTAATTTTGGAGAAACCAGCTCGAGTGCGCTAGAATTTGAAAATACACAACCGGAACAAATCTGCCACTTCCTTACAGAGCCCCTCCTCCAACACACACGAACGCGCACATGACCAATGAGGGCACGAGATAAGTTTGTGCACAGATGGAAGGCTGACAGGCAGGTAGGCCATCCAGTTATTTTAGCCGGGCCGGCTCAAATGATTGGTCGTGCTTTTTACAGCGCTACGGCTTCCACAGATGACATATTTTAATATGGATTTTTTTGTCAAAGCACTTAAGATATTCATCGCTATCGGGATGTTAAGAGTATTCCATGGAATATATCAAAAAGTGTATCTCGAGCCGGTTTCTCAAAACGTACCTACCCCAGCTTTAAGTGATCACTTACCTGTAAGATGGCCTCAAGCGTAACATTTTGCTGCAAAAAGAGAAAAAAAACAGAGCAATGTTAGCATACGCACCATCCCAGCTTTTCCCCAATTATACACATTTAAATGTTAATAATAATAGCAGGACAGTTTAGCACCAGTTGTTGACATTACCAAATGTAGTTGAACCTCATTAATATTTAAAGAAGGGTTTAATATATAAACAGATGTCGATGTGGTGTAATTGTGTTAGCGCTCTTTTTTTTACAAGTATATATTGTCACTAGCAGCTTGCCCCACTGCACCTTGGTGTGTGACTTGGACATTTGAATTGCAGAATATGCAAAATTCTCTCTCTCTCTCTCTCTCTCTTCTTCCTGAAGTGTCTTTGCTTGAGGCCATTAACAAAGGGCTAAAATATCATAGCATGGAAGTCCCACCCTTCACCTACGCTAGCTTGTTTTCAGTATGAAGTGGCTTCTTGGATTAAGATGCATCTCTCTACTACCACACTGGCTCTAACATTTGAAAGCCTGATCATTTAAAGATAGCATTAGCCTTCACAGCTCCCACAGAATTAGCATTAAAGGTAACGTTGGAATAAACAGCTTCAGTAAGCTACATTTCCTTCCTTCTCCGCTCTACTTGGCTACACATGAGAATACAATTTCATTTAGGACTGGAACGCACATATCGGCTCACTCTACATGCTATTCCTCATCTTTTAATTAATCTACTAAAAGAATATTGTCAGAAGTCAACAGCTTTTGAGATAAATGAATCTTAGGCAGCATATTGCATTATGGGGAGAAACTAGAAGGTACACTTAAATGGGATTATAGAAGCAGCAGCACAGAGGGAGTACTTCATTCTGGATGTAGAAACCCCAGACTATATTCACCACGGTTTATTTGAACATACTCTGCAGTAAAAAAAAACATATATATTAAAATATATGCTAGTGAGCATGCTAGCTAGTGAGCATGCTAGCAAGAGTGCGCAACCGGCACTGCATAGAGGATGTTAACCCAGTTGTCATGTATTTTTGCATCAGCTGCTACAACCATCTTGGAACACCAGGGGTGAGACTTTTTATGCGTCAGCTGCTGCTTCAGAGAAGAAGAATGAACTTTCAGTCTCACCTCAGGAGAACATTTGGAGACGACCGGGGGAGATTATAACGTGGGTAGTTGGGCTCTTTGAAGTTTGCAATGAAAAATGTTGCGAACCAGCAAAAGTGAACAGAAACGCATTCCTATTTAATTCATCCTGCTTTTAATTGGGAGGAGACACCAGTAAAAACTGAACTATTCTCAAAGACACTTTTTTTCTGAATCCATTTATAACTGAAGCTGCTCAGCGACTGTTTCTTGAGTGTATCACACACAGTCTGAAACAGCTGCTCTGACACTATACAGACCGTCCAGTGCCTCCACGTCTCTCTTTCTACAGACACATCCAAACTTACTCCTTTGAAGTCGGAGTCGACATCAGAGTCCTCCAGACTCTCCTCCAGCGGGACATTTCTCTTCTTCAGTAGATGCTCGTCTCGTTTGTTCTGATGAGGGAGAGAGAGAAAAAGACAGAGAAGCAATGAGGGGAGGCGATCAAAGTGTTCTTTAATGCATTCATGAATTCTTTAAGTGTCAGTGAATCTGGGTCTGCCTCAAAAGACTGATTCCTCTTTTTCACAAACTTTTTTATATCTGAAAGTGTAGGACACATGTTAGATATACCATAATAAGTAAGTAAGAAGTCATTATAGCCTGTGGTCAACAAACTGGTCAACAAATAGATGGCCATTCACGATAAAACTGTGCAATTCAGCATTTATATCCTATTAATACACCACAGTAACTATTGTTATATACATTTGATATATTGTAGTACAATGTAGGGCTGCTCAATTATGACAAAAATCATAATCTCCATTATTCGGGTCAATAATTTATATCACGATTATTAAAAACGATTATCCATTTACTTTGAAAACATCCATTTATTGAAGAAAAAAAATGTGAACAGTATGTTTTTAACAGTTGATTACCCTGAACTTTAAGTATAATTCAACTGAAAAAAAATTTTTTTTAAAAAATAAAAAAATAATAATAGTAAAAAAATAAGTTTTATTTCGATTACGTTGTTTTCGTAATCGTTGCAAGCCATAATCGTAATTTCGATTAAAATACGATTAATTGAGCAGCCCTATTACAATGTGCACATTTTTACCTCCTATTATAGTATAGATATTTAAATTGTATTGTATATGTTCTGGACATTCTACTTCACTTGTTATGTTTATATTAATATCTCCATTGTATTTTTTATTTAATTCTTACTTCAATTCTAATTTTTATTAAAATAATTGTATTCATTTCTATTATATTTTTTCGATGGAGTAACAGTCAAGAAACACAATTTCCCATGGGATTAAAAAAGTATTCTGATTAGTCAAATTCAATTAGAGAAATCTGCCTGCAGGCTAGACCACAAGGCAAACACACGCTCGTCCTCTTTGAAGGACAAAACACACACACACTCTCTCTGCAAGCACACCTTCAGACAGCACTGCGATACAGAGACACTTGTCGATAGAGAAAGTTAGAGAGACCCAAACATCCCATCAGCTTGATGTGAGTCAGCGAGAGGAGGAGATTCCCTTGCTCTACATTCCTGTGCATCCTGCTCATGTGCGTCACTGATGACTAATCGGCGAGTGCAGAGCTTCTCGCTGCTCTGATCCAGATCAATGGAATGTGCAAAACATGAGACCACCTCAGTATTTCCTAGCAGTGACATTCTGTGTTTTAACACCCCCGTCTGTGTCAGTGTTCCCCAAGCGGTCGGCTGATCCGAGCTGCTGTTTACCAGAATCTTCAGACTTTGTTTAGAAGCAGGATGCCAAAGTATCCCTCAGTTCTGTTTGTTACCACTTCAGATTCGAGGCCATCGGGCCCAGAAAAGCAGAACATCGTGCTGGACTCGAGCCCAGACCCCTGGAGCAGTTTTGTGCCTCAGCCTGATTAAAAAACGGAATTTATTTGATTATTTATTACAAGCTAAAGTTATCTTTGGTATTTTGAGTGCAGTTACAGACTTTTGTGACGCTCTCCGACATTCGCCTTTAAAAACCAGATTGTATAACTTGTCCCCTCATCAATAAGAGGCCGGAGTGTGGACTCTGTTCTAAGAAACTGCTGTTTGTGACAAGTTTTTCAAAAACACCAGCAAAAAGATCTGAGACTATAGAAAAATATCATATTCAAATGATGCATAACAGTAAGTTATTGAGTATAACACAAAGCACTTCTGCTCAACTGAAAAGAAAAGACAGCTCCGGGAAATTGGCGGGAAAACTGGTCCGAATTGGGTTTGGACAGAGAATCAAAAGCTCTAGCTCAGATAGCCCAGAAACCAAGTCAAGCCTTGGCGAGTGCAGCTGTCCACCTTGTAATATGATGTTTACAAGTTGTCATTTCCTTGTGTCACTATTGTGCCAGGGCTGTGAAAAACACATTCACGGAGCAAAGGGTTCACTTCAATATCTATCATCTTGTTCTGCAGCCACTTCCTGGAACCAGAGGGCACCTTCTCTCTTCCACAAACTACATGAACAACTCAGAATCATACCCTATGACTCAACTAATGCAGATAAGACTTGTGGGCAAAGTAGGGCTTTTGATGAACTCTTAGAAATTGATCTTGAAATGTGCTATGGATATTCGTGCTTAAAAGGAACAACTACACGATGATGGATTAGCCGTACTGATTGTGTTAGTGCTTTATTTTACTCATCTATACAATGTACAAAGAATATTACAGACTAAAAAAAGTGATAATTGTGATTTTCACATTCAAAACGCAACTCAGCTAAATTTGACTTCATCCATCATTAAGAACTAAATCTGTAAAAACTGTCAACCTAAAAACAACCTTAGGCCCGTCAGCATGTTAAAAAGGGTTCCTTGCATAACTAATTTCACAGTCAAAGAAAACCATACAACAAAATGCAACACTTTAAAGCTAACCACATGTAACTGCTGTTACACTCCAACCGTTAAGACTTTCAAAAAGGATGAACGGTGTGTCCTATTCCAATGACCTGAACACGTGTTAAAAAAACACTGCCACCCCCAAGTAGCAAACAGGAAGTCTGATCTTACCAAAAGATCATTTTCAGGATCGGCTCACAATCTTTTATATTTTAGTCTATGAATATTTTAAAAGCTTCCGTTTACTGTTTTGTTAAAGTACGTTTTTGTTCACAGTTCTGACAAGAAGAAATGCATCAGCCAGAAATATCCCACCAGACACAGACACAACGTCAACAACGGCTGTCTCCAAGTGCTGTCTCCAAGTGCTGTCAATGAAGTATGAAATCACATGTAGACTGGCTCAACTCAATATGACTCTGGTTTGAATTGTTGCATAAGAAAATGTGGATTATTCTCACAACAATTAGATACATATCAGACAGGGCTTGTATCTGGAGGTGGGGTTTTGTATTGGTAGAATGCTGCACTTAAACATCCCCTTCTACAAATACAATGTTTATGTATGAACAGGTTATATCCATGGACTATATTTTTAAAAAGGACATAGTATGTGTACTGTCAGTTTTAAGACAGTCCAAAAGGGGGGTTTTAAGGCTCTGCCCTGGAGTTCGTAACTAGCTTATAGCTGAATAACTGCACATAAACTGGCAGAAGAATACTTAAGTTGAACAATCAAACAGAAAGATTAAGAGCCCACTGCAGGACGTAGAGAGTATTGTATCAAGAGAAAATGACACCAACATAACCTCAGAGGATTCATCAGAGGATTCTTGTAGAACTTAAGAAAAGCTTCAAGTTCCTTCTTGAACTCTAATGGCTTCTTAAATATTCCACATTGTGTTATCTAAAAATAAACACACAACCAAATCCACCAGATGGCTGGAAAGAATAATGTGCAGAGGAAAACAACTTGATTCTAGGGGCATCGACTGTGAAACATGATGTTGGGATATGTATTGCTGCCAGTGAGACCAGCTAACTGTTGACGGTTACAGCGGTGTGAAGGCTTACCTTACATTACTTCAAGGTCAAAGCTGATGCATCAATATCTTTGGGCAATGCCATCAAAAAGCAGCAGCCAACGTGTTTATCCAAAGCAGTAAAGTAACCTCAATCTAACTTAGCATGGGTCTCACTTATAACAGAACAGAATGAAGGATATAGAATAATATGAAAATGACTACACTTTTTCAACACGATGAAGATGTTTAACCCCTCAAAGTAAGGTAGAGGTTGGCATTTAAATAGTACCGTCCTCCTTTAAACGTTAAGCCTCTGGTGCAGGGTAAAGGACCACAAAATACGTCACATGACGAAACTGCACAATGCCCACCTGCAAGTATATTTCCCTTTTGTTCATGTTTCGCGCAACAATCAACACGGACCCCAGCACTACTTTAAAAAAAAAAAAATGGAAGCTCCTCTTTCATTTCAATTTTGTCACCATGCCTGAACAGCAGGGAGCGCAGGAAATAAACAGCAAACACGGTATCCTGGTAACGAAAACTGACTCCGGTACAACTTTTCTAAGAACATAAAATACACTGTCAAGTTGAATATAAGCAGAGTACAATACATGACTGTGTTGTGTCCTGTGTTCAAACTGAGACAGTATACCAAGAACTTCACATTTATAGAAGTAACAGAAATGTTTAAAGCAGGATTTAGACAATTGTTGTTCTGGTTCATTTCAGGGTATTTTATTTGTACCCGTAGGTAGATTTGGTTTGTTTTCTATAGTCTGTTGGCAGGTAGGGGGAATAATTAAATATTAAGAAAAATGTGATATTATAAGAAGATAGTCATTAAATAGCATGAGGTACTTTGTACAAGAATGACAGATTTAAGCATCTAGGGTCTTGGACAGATAAATAGTATTTGAAATGAGTGAAGCATGTATGTGTAGACAGACAGTGGATATTTTCCTCACCTTTCTCAATTCAACCGTCACCTCATTTCGATGTCTTCGCATAGTCTGTAACAAAGAAGAAGAAGATTCAGCAAAGGAAAAAAATATTTGGGCTTTGGCACATTTTTGAGAGACGCTACTGCAGTGAAAATAACACTTTATTAAGCATTTCACATATCGATAGTAACTCAAGAAGAATAATCAAATATCATGGGCAAAAATATCTAATTGTATGATGTCCTTTAGATTCAATGAAGTATTGACCAAAACCTTTTTTGGGATCTAACAGAGCATGTAATAGATGTATTATTCCCCTTAATTTAGACATACATCTTTGAATCATCACAACAATAACCAAAACATGTTAAGGTAAGGAAGAGTTTATGTGAGGATAAACACAGAGACTTTTTAATATAATTTAACTAACAGACAGCACAAGCGATGTAGGTTGGTTGGGTTTGCAGTTCATCCTGAACCGTTTGAGATGGTCTAAGATCTTGTGACTGTTTGAAGAGGTTCATGTTGCCTTCCTAAATAGCCTGTTACGTAATATAGGACAGTCATAAATCAGGAGGATGTGGGGCAGATAGGTGTCCCAACCACGGAGAAACTGAAAATAAGGACCAAAACTAAATGTCCCTTACAGACAGCAGAACATCAGAATACAAAAGTCCAGCCCGGGCGTGAAGTAAGGCTGAAACTAATGGTTATTTTCATTGAATCTATAATTCTGCTAATTATTTTCTATCTAAAAGTCTGAAACATAAAAATATTAATCTATTATGATGATTAAAAAAACAAAATCATCTCCACATTTGAGGCAAAAAAGAGCTTTTTCTACCATTTTGGATGTGCGTCATCCAAATGACTTTAAACATTACGTGATTATCAACAAAGTTGGTGATAATTGTTCTAATCGAACAATCATTAAAGCTTAAGAGAGGTAAATGCCCCTAGTTTACTTTAATTAGCTAATTCTGTTGGTCGCTGTATCATAAATATGAACTTTTTTGTAAATGTACCCTCTGTTGGACGAATAAAGGTATTCCTATGTCCCTATAACAAAGAGCATATGCATATAAAGACAATCATTCAAAGAATAACTCCAACAACAAAACCGTTAAACCAGATATTCTACAAGGTAAGAAATAAGAGGGCATTAACCACGCCATCAACACATTGAAATAATTATTTCCTGCAAAACAAAGGAGCTTGCATCTGACAGCATGCGTCTTTACTGCTTTGCAATTCAAAGCCGTTTCTAGTGATGTCAGAAATGAAGAGCAATCCGTTAAGCCTGACCTAAATAAATAAAACCCAAACTGGCATCTTCTCCCCTCCTGTAGACTGAGTCATCCATTTAAAAGAAATGTTGATCATTCACAGGAGACCCAGGTCGGACTTCCAACATGCCTGAAATAGCACCAGGAATGCACTTGGCAAAGTCTGTCTGTCATAGTAGCCATGTGCATGTCACACTGACCCCAAGTTTCAAAACAACCACCAATGGGGCATCCATCTGTGCTTTTTGGAATTTGAGGATGAAACGGCCCCCTGTTCTTAAAAAGGACCATTTCGAGATATATCTTTGTGTCTTTTGTTGAATAACCCTGATAGAAGTGAGGAAGTTCATCTAAATAAGTCTAGACAGTTTTTGCTTTGACATCCTTTGGTCCAAGACTGTGAGCTTCCTTTATATTTTGCTGGTCTGAACACAGCCTTTGCCAAATGGTTTGGTCATCAAGTCAATGGGCATTACAGACAAATGCTGCCTGTCACATACATGTATAATTCGACTTGTTAGTTGTATGATGCTGCAATACCCAGCCTGTTAACACTGCCCATTTGGCAGTATGGTACATAGTTTTCAAAGACATATGACCAGACAGTGAATATACTACAATTATGTTTCATAGTTTAATAGCAATGTCAACTTAAAATGTGATGACACCAAGTTATAATGAATAGTAGCCTACTGCTGGCTCAATGCTATTCAAATCTCACTGATGGATTTGAATCATACATGACCTCAAATGATTTTAGTTGACATTACATTTGACTGTTTTCCACATCAAATGAGACTGTAAAACTAAGGTCATCGCATCATTACCATGTAGCTAACAGTTTAGTGGCTTAGCTAGCAGCTCAGTGTAGCTCAGCTGGCTTCACATGCTAACATTAGCATGCTAACTAGGAGGGGCAATGTTTGGTAAGGGTGGATGTGACCCAGCCATGTTATTGAACCTTAAATTATGTTTTGCTAATAATGACACATTTATGTAACGTTTGCAAGTTAGATGTGGTGTTGATTAAGACCAACTTGATATGAAATAAAGCAAGTGTGAAGATTTTAGAGCCGGTCGGGCCCAGCCACCGGTGCCCATCCAACATGCTAGGTGTCGTTAGCCGGCAGTGACAGCTACACCTCCTGCCCTTAAATCTCCCATTTCTAACGGCCCAGCTGTGATGTCGCTTCCTCTTTACAAACATTACCAACTGAATAATAGTAGACCACGTGTTAGGTGTTAAACAATCATCACAATTGCTCAATCAAGGGTGTGATTTGTCGTTGACAAGATAAGCACTTTTGATGGCGAACTATTCCCGTTAGCTTAGCTTAGCTTAAATAGCAGCTGCAGCCAGGCTCCCCAACGAGGCCCAAAGACTATCGTTTTTTTACGCAAAACTATCCGGATTTATGTCAATAACACTCGCGTTTATATGTCAGCTCACCTCGACATCACGTCCTTTATTTTTAAAGCTCTTGATGCGGTGGTTTTCCAAGCCGGCGTTTTCTGCCATGGCTGTATGGGGTTTTGCTATTACTCCGGCTTTCGGGAATCTCCTCCGTGAAAGACGAGGCAGCTCCTGTGCTGCTGTTCTCCGAGAGGGAGAGGAGGGGGCGGTGACACAGGGGAGGAGTTACTGCTCCTGCATGGGCTGCCCTGCTTTCCTCCGCTTACTCGACGCAGTAAGAATAAATTCCCCTTTGATTTACTGTCCCACAGGATGTCAGGAAGATTTGCAGCTCAACCGTCAATGTTGCGCATAACAGTGAAGATGATACGCAGCCAGGGATAGAAGATGAAGACTCAGGGACAGTTTCATCCCACAGGCAATAAGAATGTTAAACACCTGAACTTTTGAAAGAACATACAAAACATTCATCTGTTTGCAACTCATATATCAATATTCCAATTACTGTATACTATCCTGCAATGTTTCTATTATATTATATTTTATTGTATTTACTTAGTTGTACTATTGTATCTGTTTTATTGTGTTGCACTGCTGGAGGAGCCTGTGACCTAAAATGTTCATTGTCATAAATTAACTACACTGTAGCTATGCACACATAACAATAAAAGCCTTGAGATGTATTCAGATATTTCGCTTACACTAGAATTGTTTAAGTTATAAGTGAACGTCCTGCATTCAATATCACAGGCTAAAGTACAGGTATGAGTATCAACATTTTCAAAACATACCAGTTAAATAACTTATTTTGCATAATAATAACCAATTTTAGGATCATATACATTACATTACCTGTTAATGTGGTGCTCATTTTAATCACTGCTACTAGATATCTTAACCTAGATAATTATAAATAATACTTTATTTTGATTGTGTGTGAGCTAATATTCTCAATCTGTAAAGTAACTAGAAACTAAAGCTGTGATAAATATAGTGCAGTAAAAAGTACAATATTAACCTTAAAAATGTAGTAAATGTAGTAATATTGTAGATATTCAAGTAAAGTACAAGCACTTTAAAATTGTACTTAAGTGTATTTCTTGAGTTAATGTACTTAAAGACATCCAACGGAAGCCTATAAGCATCAAAATGTAATTAAAGGGCTAATAGTAAAAGTACTCATGATGTAGTATGGCCCATTTCAGAATCATATATTAAAAATGTTTTATATTTATTAATGCATGTATGTGTTCATCACTTCAATCAATGCACCTGGTAAAAGGTGGAGTTTATTTGATATACTTTATATACTGCTGGCTAATATCTAGTGTATTAGTAGATGTATGTGTTATATTAACATAATCTAAAAAGAAGTTGGTAACTACTACTGTAAAACAAATGTAATAAGAGTCAAAAGTACAACATTTCCCTTCAAAATGTAATGGGGTAAAAGTATAACGTAGCATCATTTGAAATAATAAATTGAAGTACAAGTACCTACAATTTTAAGCAAAGTACACTACTTGAGTAAATGTACTTAGTTACATTCCGTCAATGTACTGTAAGACAGAACAAACTGACAAAGGTTTGCCTCCAGACACAAAAGTTTAATGAATCAACAATATTTGGATATGCTTGTACAATAACATCATTAGTGCAACTAAAGACAAGCATTTTAAATATTTAACTGTTAGCAGCGAATTATGCAATGCCAATACAACACAACAGATTGACATTTTTAACCATTACAATCTTTAATCTGAGACAGCCGGCACCAACTTTGGTAATTTTCTGATAATTAGAATAAAAACACCATGAAGATTTCAGGAAAGACAAAGTGTGGAAAGCCTAAAGAGCTGTTCATGGAAATGATTTGGAAATCAAGCTTGATATATAATTAGTGTCAGTGATTTAAGAAATATTTTTTTTTAATATTTGTATTATATATTCGCAGCATGTCACCTCAGCATACCTCAGTGAAAGCCAAACCGGCAGTTCTCTGTGAATGTGTTCTGGATAACTGGAGTGCATATTTAAACCATCTTTGTGTCAACTCAAATTGAAAAAGTGTTGCAATATCACTTCTTTTTATTGTATTTTTAATTAAAGAAAAGTACATAAAAGTGAATGGGATTTTGTTGACAGATGTGTCAGTATCGAAAGCTGATCCTTCATTAGTTCACACCCTTTCCGGCCAAAAGAAAGACATGTTTTGTTAAATGAAAGTGAATAGGTGACTCAAATAAATATAGGGCGTATGCTGAGTCAGTAGGACATTTATGAGATTACATAATCAAATAATATAAGTATAAAGCAATGTGAATAAGACATGGCTTTTTGATCCTGAACAATTTGAACATTTAACCATTTCATCCGCTGTCCGGCATCTGCACACAGATTGAGAATGAAAGCAGCGATTGAAAGTGTTTCAGTTAATACAAGGCGAGGACCACTGACACAAGGTACAGATTTGACAGTTAACCACCAGCATATTAATAGACAACCAATGATCAGAAACTCCCACTCCTTCAAGGATACTCCAACGTCAACGCGAGGCATGAGTAGAGAGACAGAGTAATCAGGGGAAACAAAACAAGAGGCATTAAGCCACACATGATATCAAATCAAGGTCAGACTGTAGTGCCACAGAGGTTGCTATTAGTAACAGGAGAGGGTGACATGTTAAAGAGGCGCTTAGGCTGAAGTGATCTTTTAGAAGATTTGTTGTTCAAAGAGGATCTTCTCAAATCCTTGTGGAGCTGGGTGGTAGAAGTCACTAAACTGGCAGTCTAAGATGGCACTGTCGTCCACTGCAAAGAAAGAAGGGAAGGAAATGAGCACAAGCTTGTGTACAAGTTAACATACAGAACAGAATATTAGTATTAGCAGCATTTAATTGAAAATATCAAATGATGTTTTTATAGTTTTTGACCACAGCACACATTGATCTTATCTGTGTTTCTTTAAGCTCATAAGATAAAACTTGAGTGATCTCCGTATGGATTCTTTTGGACAATCCAGGTGTCTTAGCAGCCTCAGTAAAAAGGGTGAACACAGGATAGCACAGATATTAATTCACAGAGGGATAATAAACAAATAAAAACAACATTGAAATGAAACCCATTCAAAGCTTCAAAAAAGTTAAAATAATACATTTGCCCAAGTCTCTCTGGCAAGTCATTTAATACTGATAAAGTCAAAGGAAATCAAATAGATATCATTATCTTGTTTATTTTACAAAGTTATTGGTTCTGGAGAAACTAGGTCAGATGCCTCGTACCAGCAGCAATCTGAATAAAATCCCTCAAAATACAATGTTACAATTTTGAAATTGGTCCTGAGGAAGAGAAGCGGCATCAACTCGTATAACAAACAAACATACACTCTCCAAAGGCCTTGCTATGTTTACCAGTTGTAAACCTGATGAGTGATTAGAGCAGAAATTATGTTTTAAGGCCATTTTCTTAATTCTTATAGTCAATCTTAAAATAGACTCAAAGAGGGAGGAAAGAAAAAATTACAAATCTATATTTGAAAGCATCATTAGTATTCAATAGTTCATACTATACTAGATTAGATATGGAAAAGAGTGCAGCATGTCCCCATCAGTGAAGTTCAGTCTATGTTAATACAAAAATAAATATAATAAGCCCTTTAATATAAATGATAGGCCTGCACAGATACAACACAACAGTACATTTTATAGAGATTATGTTTATGAAAAGAATCCAGAGTGACAAATAAAATCTTCCTTTGACTAGAATAAAACCTGAATGTCAAGAATGTTTGTCTGAACTTGTTTCAATTAGTCAATGTGACTCTTACATGGGTGGAAACTTCTTTTTAGTACAACTAACAGCCTGAAATGAGCAATGTTTTGTAAAAATGTACAAATACAGCCCTCTAGTGGAGAAAAGTGTAACTGCCAAAAGGGTATATCTGGGAGAGCAATTGTCAGTACATAAAGTTTACAATTGAGAAAAATAGTCAAAACATTTCCCCAAATGACCAAGCCCCTTTTCAAAGTATTCAGCATATCCGGCCAACAAATAAACGTACCGTAAACAACGGGGTATACAGTGCCTCGGATCCCTGAGGCAGGACAGTGCATGTTCTTTCCATTCAGATATATATTCATCTCCACGTGGTCATATGTGAAGCCCTGAGGAACACAAACAAAACTGGAATTAACAGAATTTGTGCAGAGAAAGGGGACAACATTTTAGAGGAAAGTAAAACACATGCTGGTTTTAGGGCCTCCGTTTTTTAAAAGCTGTAGTAAACCCAAAGGAACATGCATCACTCATTTTAGAAGTCTTACTGACTGACAGATTGGCTTACCTGAATTTGACGAAAGGGGATCATACATTGTCTCGTGAGCTAAATCATTTTTACACAAGTTTATTCCTGCATGATTATTAAATACGATTGGTTGCTAAATGTCTTTCGATCTATCGTCTGATTATGTCTATGTGTCTTTAGGGTCTCTCTAGTACAGCTCACTTCAAAGAGCTACCACTTCAAGTCACCAAGCCTTAAGTTCCAGTAGTTGTAGCTTAAAGCTGTTTTTCTCTCTTCTTCAGCAGAACCATATGCTGTCATAAAAGTAGCGTGACAGAAATACATTTGATGCGTTTATATTTTAGGTTTGTGAAAAAGAAAAACCAAGATTTGTCTCATTATGTCGGGTAGCATATGTCACGCACTGCTTTGAGCAGATAATGACACGCTTGCTGACAGTGAAAGATAGAATTCTGCATCATTTTCAGAACTGCTCTGCGCCCGCTGGGTTTCGTGCTGCAGCCGCTTGCACCCGCAGGATGTTCTGCAGCACCGGCCGCAACATTTTTTTTTCAGAACCCAAGTTTATGTTAATTAACATCGTATTCAACTAAATGATTTCTGAGTCCTGAAAAACAACGAGAATGGCTTATCAAGTATTACAAATTGTCTCAGTATAACTACAAATCTGTTATGATTAATAAACTGGTGACAATTAGCAACCGAATACTTTCCTTCCCATGTTGGAAAAAGCATTACACTGTCACCATCAATGTGACGTGCAGTCCATGAGTCTGAAGGACTTTAAGGAGTTCTGAATATACCAATAATCTACTCTTGCATGCCTGTTGATAGACCACAAGATACTGTAGCTAGATATGTACAGACTAATTGATAGAACAGAGATAAACCATTCGTG